CCATTAGAAATGCAACACATATCGTTTTGATGAGCGCATCTCGGCGAACACGATGGTGCAGATTTCATGAAATTCTGTTCGGTAGATCATTAGATAATAGCCTCCGAAATATTAATAAAATTTTATTATTTTATTATTTATATAATCAGCAAATATATTTTAGGAGTTTTTATTTGACTCGAGTTGAGTCGAGTCAAATTTAAGTATAACTCGAGTCAAGTTGAGTTAGATTTTAAAATTTTTTGACTCGACTCGACTCGACTCATTAGGAGCTCTACTTTGGATCAAATATAAATTTTTCTAGGGAAAGGTTATATGCCATGATAATACTGGGATATAATGAAGCAAAATCTAGACCAGTTACTGGCCTTTTATTCTTGATACCTTTTTTAGGCAGAAAAACGTATACGTCAGGATATTTTCCTTTTTCTATATTTTTATATACTTTCGTGCTAAAAACTATATCTCGTTTAATGGCATAAGCACTCAGAAGGTTTCGTACTTTCATTCCATTTGCGTGATAATGTGCATCAAAGAGAGATACATAAGCTATAGAATCAACTTCTCTATAATCATTAATTACACTTAGTTTTACCAATAGCTTCTGACAATGCAGTGCGTTATAATACAGTAATGTGCTACTTCACACATATTTTTCGCAGTTGACGAGGAAGAGCTTTTTTTCGCCTCTGAAAATATTTTTCACATTTTATCATATGGCATATCGGCCTTACTGTCAAGACCGCATTTTTGTAAGAAGAATTTAAGTGAGCCTTCCTTTTTAACTTCAGAACGGGGAAAACGTTTTTTGAGGCACACTCTGACATCTATCAGTACACAACCTGGCAGTTTAAGAAAGCTAGAAGTAAAATCATCTTTTGCACTAATTTTGATCTTAATTGGATCACCCATATACTCTTTCTCCTCCGGGTCCTCCTCGCCTTTCTCAGGAGGCTTGACAGCAAACTTTACCTTAAAAGTTTTCTCAGATTTCACTCCTATCTTTCCACAATATTTCCACTTTGAGATTTTATCCCTTGTTTTAAACTTTCCTGTCATTCGCTCTCACATCCATTCGAGTATGTTGAGATGATAGGCTCTCTCCATAATAAAATGCCAATCATAGTCTGAATCGTTAAACCCAACTTGGATGTCAGGGCAAATGCTCGCCAGCAGAGAGCGAATGCTTTTAGCAGATTTTCTTGGTTTTCACATATGATTGTGGTCCATCTCAGATTTGGTTCTGTCTCAACATCAATAAGACATATTTGCTTTAGCGGTTTTGGATCATCTTTCCAATGCAATATCATGCAAATCATAAAAACATTTGATTAAGATTGAGGATTTTAGCAAATTCACCTAACTTTCATGATTGCGTCTCTATATTTCACGTGAGGACAAGAGTACGATCCCTTAAAAGAGCTGAAATAGGGAATCGGACACTTATTGTTGTAAGGTCTTTCACTGGCTGAAAATTATTTTTAGAAGTATAGAAAGTATGTGAGTAGAGAGGATCAATTCCTTTTTTATATACAGTTGACCCCCTCTATAATCACACCCCTTGGGACCATGAAATGGTGTGACTATATGAAGGTGTGCTTATACCAAGGGATTTATT